CAGAGAAGCATGGCTCGAGGTCTTCAGTCGAGAACTGTTGACCCCCTGTTTTACGCTCTCTGCTCTACCTCATTCCTGGCTGTTTGTCTCTTTATTAATAATTATAAAATTATTCTATGCTTTGGGACCCTTGGTCTGCAACACCCTACTCACTAGACCACCAGTGCTCTCTGGAATGGTAATATACAAATAAGGTGATTGCCAAAAACAGACCACTGAGTAGGGGACCACCCAGTTTTACCATCCTTTAAGCCCTTGTGCTTAAATCAAGGAGGTTCAGAGGGATCTCAGTATCATTCAGAGAAAAGCAGCACAAGAGTATAGTTCATCCTTTAGGTCAGAGATTCCTCTTGGGAGACAGAGTGTGATATCCATAGTGAAACCTCGCGACCACAACAGAGATAACCAACACCAGTGGCAGAGGTGGTGCAGGACCAGAGCCCAGTGTGTGCCAGAGCTGAACACAGTCAGCCACCCTACAGAGCAGGAACAGAGCACCCTGGCCTAGGCCTAGTAGTGGCGGAGGGAAGAGCGCAGCTGTCCAGACTAACGGAGTGTTGTCACATCTGCCCAGGTGCCAGGCATGTTCCGAGCGACAAGGCCTGGGGTCAGGGAGACCAGCGTGTACGCACACTTGAAGAGAAACTGTCCTGACTGAAAGACTGTATCCTGAGTGCTTCCAACCCGAGCTGTAACCTGTTACTTCCCTAATAAATTCCCTAAAGTTATCCAGAGGGGAAAGAAAAATAAACAAGCAGAATCTCCTTGGGAGGGACGATTTCACTGAGGAGGGGAGAGAGTCAAGACTCACTTGGAATGCCAGGAAACACAGACTAAAGTGGTGGGCTGAAGCCAAGGACGGGCCGAGCAGGGAAAGGGTGAGACCAGGTGGGCTGGGCGCAGCGTGAGCACCCACCTGATCCTGCGGAAGATGCTGTCCAGATCCCTCTTCATCTCAACCAGGGTCCTCGTGTGATGCAGGAAGCGCTCATTCATCTGCTGAAGGCGGGCACTTGACAGGTTGTTGAAGTTCAGTAGCATCTCATTGGTCTTCTCAAAGCGGTCCAGCCTGGCAGCAGAGGGACTCTCCTTGGTCTTGTGCCCCGCCTCTAGGGCACTGTCTGACCCGCACCCCCATCCTGAACTGGCCCTGCTAATTCCTGTCCTGCCCCAGGGCCTCATCCTGCTGAGCTTCACATGCCAACCCAAATGTGCACTGTCTCCATTCCCTTCAAGCACGCTTGCTACTTCTGCTCTGACACCTCCAGCCCCAGGTTCTTCCCTCGAGCCCACCCTTGACCGTACAGAGTCAGGGGGATGGGGATGGGAGTCCCCCGGGACCAGTGCCATCAGACCTAGAGAATGAGGAAAGAGAGGGTTATTACTATGTCCCACATGCATTCATGTTCAGATCAAGGGCACGGCTGGGAGATCCCATCTGTGCTGTGCTGTAAATGAGGTGTGGAAAGACCATTCAGGAGCTAAACCGAAGCCTCAAAGGGCTTCCATCCCAAAGTTTTGAAGGCTGAACACATATCTGTCAGTTCTGTTCCTCCACAGGCAAGGACAGGTTAGGGTGAAGCTGCAGCAGAGGACAAAGCCCCCTCCAGAGACCTCACACTGGGCAGACACAAGACACTCTGTCCTGTCAGGACGACAGCTCCCCAGCTCCCTGGGCACCCTGAAGCCCCTCCGCAGCCCAGCCTGTCCTCTGCTACCTCACTTATGCCTCAGGACAGAAGCCTGGGCAGCCCATGTCAGCCTGTAGACAGCTGCAAACCCTTCTCCAGGCCCTGCTTCCTGTCCAGAACCTCACCCCCAGGCCAGGGAGGAATGCGCTCGGAAGCCAGATTTGCTCGTTTCCTTCATTTTATCACCCCAGTGGGCCAGGGTAGGGTGGGCAAGCGGGCCAGCAGGCAGCCCCTCCCACTCACATGTTCTTCTGGGCCAGGATGATGGCGTTGACGTCATCTGCATTCACCATGCTCAGGATGCGGCTGCAGAAGACCTTCGAGGCCGAGTCTGGGGTATCCATCTCTTCTTCCTCCTCCGCTGTCTGAAATGGGTGGAAGGACAAAGGCAGCGTCAGCTCCAGGCACAGAGAAGGTAGGACCGGGGGTCGAGTGGGGGGCGGTGGCAGTCAGGCTACCAGAGTCTCAGGTGCACCACTTAAGGAATTGGGGCATTAGGAGAGCTCAAAGGAGCCCTGGGGATGTAACGCAAAATATGATAGGCTGCAACCAAAAGATCGGCAGTTCAAATTTACCAGCAAGAACAAGATGAGGGAACCTTCTCTGGTTAAGACTTAACAGCCTTGGAAACTCAGGGTGGGAGTGGGGTGTCACTGTCAGAATCCACTCAATGACAGTGGGTTTGGGGGCCTTTTTGTTTTATTATTTTGTGTGTGTACTGTCAAATCTGATCTGACTGGTACAGGAAGAGATTGCCCCTCCTTCTCCAGCAAAGCATCTAGTGGATTTGAACCACCTACCTCTGGGATTGCAGTGCAGCTTCTTGCCTCTGTTGTTTTCATTTATTTTAGAAAGACAGGTGTTCCTGGATGGTTATACACATGGCTGCTCATCGGAAGGCTGGAGGTTCAAGTCCATCCAGGATCACCTCAGAAAAAAAGCAAGGCCCAGCGATTCCACGTCAACTAGGCAGCAACTGCTGTCTTGTTTCACTTTTATAGGGGGAGAGCTCAAAGTCAAGTTTGTAAAACACAACTCATACTGGACACATGAGTTCAGACACTGCACACACGACCTCCCTGTTTCTCCTGCTACCACTGAACCACCAGTGCCCTCGCCCTCTGAGGTCATCATGCCAAAAAACACCAAAACCACTGCCGTCAAGTTGATGCCAACGCATGATGACACTCCAGCGGGTTTCCGATGCTCTAGGTCTTAATGTGAGGAGACTCTTCTCATCCTTCTCCCACAGAGTGATGAGTGTGTTTGAACTGCTGACCTTTTGGTTAGCAGTTCAACAGTTAGCCTACTATAACACCTGGCTTCCTGAAAGGGAGCCCTAAACCTAGAATGACAATTGTTGTCATAAAAAAATGAGATGACGTGGTGAGCTCTGGTGGCCTAGTGGCAAGAAGTTGCACTGCAATGCCAGAGGTGCACAGTTTGAATCCACCAGATACTCTGCTGGAGAGAAGGAGAAACAATCACCTCCTGTACCAGTCAGATTTGATTTGATGGTACACGTACAAAAATAATAAAATTAAAATTAAAAAAAGAAAACAAGATGACAAAGATGCAGGGAGAAGACCAAGTGAAGAGAGAGGTGGGGACTAAGAGTGATGCAGCAATAGGCCAAAGAACATTAAAGACTGCCAGCAACAGAAACAGAAGGCAGTTTCTCCTCCATTCAGCCAGAGCACAGCTCTCCTGACACCTTCATTTTGGCTTTCTGGCCTCCAGAACTATGGGGGGATGAATTCCTGTGGCTTCAAGTTCCCTGTATGCAGTCCTTTGTTACAGCAGCCATAGGAGACTCATACACCCATCTTTTCTCATTCTCTATGCATCCCAATACTCTCAAGTCATTGTTCACCTCCGATGTGTGTCTCCTCTCCCGAGGAGGCTTCAAGGGCCACTCTAGACCTGAGGAACTCCTACCACATTCCCTTTTTTAATCTTTTCATTGGTCCTTCTCTTCCAGAACTGTCTTAGTCTCAGCTCCATCAGGACAAAGCTGCCTCCGTCTTGTTCAGTGATCTGTCTTTAACACCCTGCCCAGAACTGGGCATGCAAGTCATCAACAGATCCTTTCAAATAAGATTGAATACCAGACAAGTATTAGGAAATCAAAGGCAAGAATTTCAGGCACCCATAGTCAGGCTATGGGCAAACCAGATGGTTCTGCAGCTCCAGCTTCCAAAGCTCATTGAGGACCATCTGGGTGGGTGGGGCTCCCAAACCAAGTCAGGCAGGGAGGGCCCCAGCTTCAACACTGTCCCTCCTTTAGTTCAGGAAAAAGACAGAATCCTCACAGAGCCCATGTATTTCATGGCCAAAAGTCCATGTGCAATTGTCTAAGACCTAGAAAAACTGGCCTGGTAGTAGCAGCAAAATCTATTTTAACTTCACAAAGGTTCTTGTTGTTAAGTGCCGTCGAGTTGTAGGCGACTTATAGCGACCCTATGAATGAAAGTCCTCAACACTTGTGCGATTTTCATCCTTTCTCCAGGTTCATAGGGTTTCCAGAGGCAAGCTATTTATGGAAGTGGTGCCACTCCTGTTTCCAAGCTTATTTTAATCAGGGATCTCCACCAAACACTGTCCAGTCCACCATGGTTAACCATTATCACATTTGACAAATCAGTATCACAGTGTTCAACTTCACAGCAACTACAAGTTACCTCTGTATGGCAAGTGGACACACCAGGGCCATACAACCTAGGTGAGCCAAAAGCCAATTCCCATGATACTGTGGTCAGCGTACCTATGCTTTCCAAACTTGTTACCAATTCTGACACCAGTGGTCCTTCCTCCAGCACTCTCTATTTCAGTTGGGTTCAAGAATCTATTGCAAGGGAGCTCTGGTGACCTAGTGGCAAGAAGCTGTACTGCAATCTCAAAGGTGTGCAGTTGGAATCTACCAGATGCTCTGCCGGAGTATGAGGGGTAGTCTCCTCCTGTGCCAGTCGGATCCAACTAGACGGTACACAACAATGGGGGCAGGGAGGGGGGAGTCTGTTGCAACGGGCACATGGAACTCAAACATCATACTCCCAATTCAGTGGTTTATTAAGGAAATAACAAAGCATAATTTGGAATCCAGTACAACAGGCTACAACTCAGGATCAGGAAGCACAAAGGCGAAGGGTGGGCCCTTTCTTCTTCAGGACAACGCTCTGTCATGACGGCAAGGTCCTTCCCTCGGTGACACAGCTCCCATCTCAGACATGTAGGCCTCCTGTTGGCCCCCTGACAAGCCTCTCTGCCTTCTGCCTTCAGCCTCTGTGTCACCACCAATTGCCACATGACCCTTCCAGGCCTGTGACCACCACTCTGCAACAGTGCCCCTTCCAGGTCACTTGCTGTCTGAGGTTACAGTCCTTGATTTGTGTCACAGCTTTTTAGGAGGTGCTTGCCTTCCTTTCCCTCTTCTTCCCTTTTAGCCTTCTTACCTCAGTGTGGTAATAATATTTATAAACAAACTATTTCTGGTCAGTTTTAAAGCATGGCCCTCCATGACCAGGGTCAGGAATCGACCAATCCCCTCTTGGTGGACCACAGGCACTTCATTTGCCTAAATACAATGACCAATCCCTGCAAAGCGCATACCAATGACAGTGCAGGCTGCATCCTAGGACCAGACAAAATGCTGTTTACAGCTTACCCAGGATATGTCAACCAATCCAGATAAAAGTAGCAAACTGTCTAGGGTGGGGAAACTAGGGCATAGGTACCCCCTAAGATGTTTCTCCAAAGAACAAGGCTAAAGGTCACATACAGGAGCCCGTTTCACCAGAAATCCACGCGGCAGTGGTGGCGCAGTGGGAGAGCCCTTGCCTTCTATGTGGAAGATTGGAATTTAAGACCTGGCCAAGACATTCCAAATACAGCCATCCTTCAGCTGTCACACATGTTGTTAGGATGTTCAACGTACTTCCATGCAGCTTAAAAAGTAAAATAAAATTCCAAATACAGCAAACCATTCACACTCGCTTACTATGTTGGTGGTCCATCCCACCCAGAAGCATTCTGGTGACATGCTCCTTTAATTACAGCCATGAAAATCCTATGGGGCAGTTCTACTCCATCACATCAGGTTGTCATGAGTTACAACTAACTTGATGGCAGTAGGTTTGTTGGTTGGTTGGTTACCAGATGAAGACTAGGAAGAAAGGCCTGACAATCAGCTTCTGAAAACCAGCCAGTAAAACTCCACAGATCATAAAGGTCTAACTGGAACTGATAATGGAGATGGTACAGGACTGGGCAGCATTTTGTTGTGCTGTGTGGGAAGCTGAGATCCACACAAAGGCTACACCCAGGATTGTGAAGAGTCCTCATGGCCCACCTAAACTAATTCCCCACTTCTACAGCAGTTGCTGTATACCACACATAACACCCAGCTCATGTAATGGAAGTTATTTATCCTCTTTATTTACTGATGCGAAAATGCTGACCCTTAGGCCATACAGTCAGAGAAGCCAAGGGAGCACTAGTGGTAAGGAGTGGTGCCTCCAACCCAAAGGCACACGGTTCAAATCCACCAGTTGTTCCGTGGGAAGAAGATGGGCATTCTTCTCCTGAGCAATTTACTGACTCTGAAGAGGATCAGCTATGGGGCGGTTCTGACTCAATGGGATTAAAAAAATGATATGAATAGGCGTTTACTATCTGTCCACAGCAGGGCAGCTGCTTCTTACAGCAGCAGATTTCTTCCAGACTTCTCATTTTTTTAGGGATTTGTGTATGTGTGAAATTGCCTCATTCTACAAACAATAGCAACTGAAACTGCTTTCCCCCAAAAAACCAAGGTGGAAGTCAAAGAGTAACTAGTGTCTTGAACATGCATCCCTGAACGTCTTCCAGGAAGGCATCAAGGTTTGTGCTGGACTACAGACTAGCAATATGAACCATCGAGCAGCGCAGAAAGGCAAGCTTTTAAGGACAACTGTTAAAAAATCCAACGGAGCTCAGTTTGTAAGCAATGGGTTTGGGTATTTTGTTTAGTTTGGGTCTTATGCCTTTCATTAGCTGTCAAAACTGCCACTATCCCAGTAACTACTATGTTTATTAAGCTCCAACTGTGCCAGGAATGGTCACCCTTGGTGTAAGGCCATCTGGCCCACCAGGTCAGCACCTGATTATACAGGTCCTGGGCAAACAGATCTGCTCCAGAGCCAGTGTATTGTCTGTCTGTCTCTCATATATGACGTCTAAGGGATCCACCACATCCCCTCCCCACCAGCTGTCGCTCTTAATAAGCTCTCCCTAAGAGTGCAGAAATAACCCAGCAGGTGTCTCTCATTCCTTCCTTGCTCTAAGTACCTTGATAGAAGGAAAAACA